TCATGTGTACTATATGTACCGTGTGTCTCGTGTGTACTGCGTGTATCGTGTGTACCCTGTGTACTGTGTGTATCATGTGTACTATATGTACCGTGTGTCTCGTGTGTACTGCGTGTATCATGTGAGCCGCGTGGACTCTGAGCGTCCTGACCGCAGCCGGTTGAGGCTTCATACTCAAGAGTACACCCTGATGGGCTGCAGCCCAGCTCCGCAGGTAGGGCTGTTTACCTTGGGGACAAATTGAGGTCGCCGACAGGTCATTTGCTGACACGCCTACTGGATTGATTGACGCGTCCCAAATGCAAATCGTGGAAAAACAAAAGAAGAAGAACAGAAACGAGAGAGCTGCTAGCGGTCCAGGAGCAGCTGTGTTTGTTTATATGTTGTTCTAAAAAAAGTTCTTAAAAAAAAATAAAACACAGGGAGCACCGGCCCTGCAGCCCACACATCAGACCGGCCCACCAGTAACTCTCCAGACCCTCCAGACTGCACATCCTTGTGACTCGTTGCTCAGAACACGGAGTGGTTGGTGTCGCACAATAAACAGTCCGTCGCCGGGCAGTTTATTGTGCGACACCAAGTACGCGTACTAGGGTTGGGCCATTTATCGTTCACGATTATACCGGTAAAAAAAGCTTGCCCAGGAAAAAAAATGATATCACTATACGCTAATTTCATGAACTAATACATCAGGGGGCCTGGCCCTTTTAACAGAACTGAGCGAGCTGAACAATCAAACCGAACTGCGCACCCCCCTCCACCTGCCGGTACTGGCGTAACGCTAATTAGCTGCGCGCAATACTAGCTAGCTAAAAACAAACAGCTGCCTCTCCATCCAGCTGTAAACTGACACTCCTCCTTGTCCTCTCTCCCCACTCGGCTCTCGCTACCGGTGCGGGTCTAAACTGCCGGTACAAACACGCGCAGGTCTGTCTCTCAGTTCCACAGTCCATGGAGCAGGAACAGTCATGTGATCAGAGTCATGTGATCAGAGTCATGTGATCAGAGAAGTGAATCATTCCTGCAGGAACAGATGAAACTCCACCAGCTTCAGGGTCACAGGATCACCTGGTTACAACTTCTGCAAGTTACAGCTCATTTAAAGAAACATATATTTTGTTGTTTGTCACATTTATGCTCAACAGATCTTAAGCTTCATTTTATTCAGTTATTTTGGGAAACTTCACGTGCACTTCAGTTTTTGTGGTGGATTTATTGATCTATATTTTGTGCAGACTTTTTCATCTAAATAACAGAAGAATAATTTTTATTTTGATACTTGGAGACCGAATACTTTACTAAAAGTAATTTCAGTAAAATTACCCCTTGTTTTTTTATTTTTATATAATACTGCAAAGCACCATGTTAAGTTAATTTTGTCAAATGAATAAAATATTTCTGGGTTTTTTATCATGAAATTGATCGTGATCGCCAGAATGCTCTGAAATATCACGATATTATATTTGAGCCGTACCGCCCACCCCGAACGCGTACGTAAAAATTTATCTTTGCGCGGACATGGCCGGCGGACGTCCACGTTGAGTCTGCCGGCGTGAAGTACCCGCCCAGTCAGTTCATGCACGCCACCAGTGGCTCCACTGTGTCTCAGACTAACAGAGACCCTAATGAACCCCTATTGTGAGGAGTGATAGGGCGATCTGCATCTGCATCTAGCTGAGCTCTATAGTTACGAAGTTCGCTGATTACAAGTGACTTTGGGCTTGTTTTTCTAAAGTTGCTTGTAAATCTCGTGAGTCACATGTTGCCTGTTTTTGGGCGTGTTTTGAACGCGAAGTTGCTTATTTGGGCGTGGCTTTCTTTCCGAGTGAAACTAGTTGATGATCTCAGCACTTTGGTTGGCCTTGTAGCTGCTTTAAGTGCTTTATAAATAAAGAGGTATGGTGTTTTTTAATCAGAGCTTCAAAGTATGTTATTCAAAGTTAGCATGATGTTGTTGTTTACGTGTAATGCCATAATAAATGTTTATACTGTTTAAAAACAGCCTCTGTTTTACACAATGTGCTGGGTTGCCAGTTGGGCTTGTTTCTATCGTGAGATCTGGCAACACGGATTGAGAAAACGTTACAAAGAAAGTCCAGCTGTTTTTGTCTCGAACCGGCTGTACGTCGTCTACGGATGAGCTTCTGGAGTCAACACAATTCAAGATGGCCGCCACAGCTAATTGCAAAATAACCAACACAAACTCCGAGCTCAATATTTTTAGTGGTTTGACTCCAAGACAACCTTAGGTCAAACTCTGGCGGGTGATATGCATCCAGATGATGAATCTTTCAGTTCATGTTTGATCCCAGAAGTGATGAAAACAAACCTCTATGACGTCACGCAGCCAAACGTCTCCCGTGTGAACGGACATTAAAAATAAACCGCCCCAAGTCATTATCAGGTACATACCGCCTCATAGCTGTCCCGGTTCTGCTTCAGGAAGTCCACGCACTTGGCCCGAACCTCAGCGTGTTGGCTCTGACTGTGCAGCACCTGGACAGGGTCAAAGGTCAACGTGAAAACCGGCTCAGGTGAGGGTTTACGTCAGCCTCTCCCAACACAAACACCTTTCATTTACTGTAACGCAGAACGCTACACAGAACCGAGCCCGGCCGGACAAAGTTCGACAACTTCGGGTCGTGCAGAGCTAACCCGGAGAAGCGGCAGCACTTTCTGTTTTCACCTGCTCCGCCACGGCCCGGAACAAACACGAGCCGTCCTTGGCGATCTTCTTCCGGTGGAAACCGATGGACCTGAGGTAGCCGTCCATCGCCCTCTCCGCGCTCCGCTCCTCGCTGCTCTGCGTGTTCCCGCTGCTGTCCATGCTAGCGGGGGGCTAGCCGCTGAAGCTAGCCGATGAGACGACGGTTTGCACGCGCAGCGGACACAAATTAACTTTTACACAAACTGCCGATATCTCCACCGCGCGTGACTGAAAACTGACATCTGAGAGCCCACGGCTGTCGGACACGAGCGGAGCCACTTGTGGTTTCGTTTCCCGGGAAGTCCCGCGCGTCCGAGTGAGGATCCTCCCGACGGGGAGAAAGTGAAACTTTAGCTTGCAGTTAGCAGGTTGAGCTAACGGCTAGCGACACGCCCCCTTCTGGCCAGCGGTGTCAAGTTTCACACAGGCCCTCACGACACTTCCGGTTGATGTCAAAGTAAAACCACAGCGACCCATCAATATTAATAATGCTTCTGTGTATTTATTTTATTGATAATTCTGGCATTATTATTTCGATTTTAACATTTGACTACATTTTGTATTCACTGCTAAATATATATAAAATCCTTCAGATTTGTTTGACAAAATAAACTTCCGGTGAGATTTGTTTCAGAACAAAAGCCTTCGCTTCAGAGGGGTATTCTACCAAAATAAGTTTTTAAAACTCGGAGATGTAAAAAAAAAAAACAGTTCGCTTGTCTGGAAAAAGGCAGTGTTATAAATAAATCCTTACGTTTTGTCAAGTGTTTATATTGGACTGAAAATCCTCTAACCAGATCCACGTGCTTCATCAGAAAACAGAAAAGTGTAAACAACGGAAAAGGGCCAGCGTGGACCTAATCAAGTTTCTAAAAGTAAAAGAGTCAACTTAACTCAATAAAGCTCGATTTTTGTTTCCACGTGCTGTGGACATTTTGTTTAATCAGAACAAAATTAGTGAAGATATTTCCATGACTCAGCATCATAGAGAGCCACGCCCTGTCCCGCCCACTGCTCGCATCTGTGACGTCACGGAGAAGCAAAGATGGCGTTCAAAGAGGGCAACAGCTCCCATCCGACAGCATTTATGTGATTAACAAGCCCAACTGGATCTGCGTCACAAGTTACTTGTAATCTTTTTACAATAAATTAATAGAACTGATAATTAATGTTAATTTCATTCAACACTCGTGTAAAACAGCTAGATGATGTATAACTATAGATCTGAAGTCATCACACGCCTCAGAACTTGAGGTACATATACAGGCTACTGGAACATGTTTATTATTATTTACCTGTTCTGTATTTGACACTTGATGAAGGATGAAACTTGTCTCTGACATCGATTAACCAAATTCTCGACAGGTCAGGTTTGTGTAATGGAAACAAAAACAGTCAAATATTATTTTACATGGTGTAAATTTTGCATAAATCAGAGGCGATACCAGATTTTAATAATTTGTGTTAGATTGTAGCTCGATTCAGCGTAGCTGCACTCTCACCAGGGAACATTTGGTCATTTTTACTGCTAACATTCTTCCCCACTGCTCCGAGAACAAAAACAAGTTGAAACTCTTTGAGCTTCATCGTAAGAATGAAACACTTTTCTACTATTTCAATAAAACCAAACGTTTAAATCAGACACATTTGTTCCGAAAATGTTGACTTCTGACCTTTCCTTCAGCTCCACACTGGACTCTGCATCGGTGGTTCATAAACTGATTTATACACAAAACTCTTTTAATAAAGGATTATTTTATTGCATTTATTGAAGAGAATCCACTAAAAATAAAATAAAAAACGAATTAAACAAAAGTCCAGACGCTCCTGCTCTTTCAAAATAATAGTCAGGTGTGGCTAAAGCCTTCATGCAACATTTCTCCAAACAAATCTTAGATTTAATCCGTTTGATTAGTGATTGCATTAATACAAAAAAACTAAATATGTTCACTTAGATATCAGTTGACTTCATTTTTTTTAGAAGCGTTTAGATAATTTATTTATGTGAAAACACAAATTCATGTTGAGATTAAAAGCTGCCCAGTGGCAGGGAAATTAAAAAATCTGTAATGTGTGGGGAATACTGACATCTAGTGGTAAAACTCCAAACTGCAACGAAATCATGTAAAAACCAACAAACTGCTTATTTTATGATGGGGAGAACATAACATTTATTATTTTAATACAATTTATACAAAAGAAAAGCAAAAGGAGACATTTCAGAAAGTAGAACAATGCTTTCTGTACAATTAATTCAAAATATCAATTGTATTTAATTCATACCAAATAAAATGCTAAGACCCACATCAGAATCCTTAAAATAGTAACTACTCACTCCGTGTCCTTAGAGCTCTTTCATGCTGCCAGGAACAGGCCTGGTTCACACTCCACCCGACCTCCTCGCAGGTGGTGGGCCCACGTGGACTTGGCTTCCTGTCTCTTTTGGGCTCAACCACCAGGCTCTTGCTGGTGAGTCCCCCCCCAGGTCTGGTTCCAGGGACGTACCCCGATATCCCCTCCCCAGGTCTGGTTCCAGGGACGTACCCCGATTTCCCCTCTCCAGGCGAAGTTTCTCGATACATTTCTCGTTTGTCCATCAAGGCTCTTGGTTCGAAGGAATGTCCAAAGGAGTCAGTTGAGCTGGTGCATCTGATTAGGACGCCTCCCTTTGGAGGTCTTCCAGGCATGGCCCTCTGGGACGAGGCCCCAGGAGGGACCCGGAACTCGTTAGAGGGATTTTATATGGTCTTAGAACACCTCGGGGTCCCACAGGAGGAGGTGGAGAGGTCTGGGTTTCTCTCCTGGACCTGTTGCCTCCTCAACCTGACCCTAGCCACCCTCAGGAGAGAGGGGAGGGAAAGGGATGTGCAAGTGAGTTCAGCTCACTTCTGTTTTCCACAGTTTTTCAGTTTAAATTGAAAAAAAAAAAAAAAACTTGGATGAAAGCGAAACATCTTTAACAAAAATAAAAGTTTGTAACGCCAACATGTTTCTTTGACCCAAACATGGGTTCAGCTTTGGGACAAACTTTCCTCGTATCCCATTTTTTGTACCACTCGGTACAAGTGACAAATGTTTTTAGCTTCCTTGTTGGTTTCACAACGTGCAGTAACAGCGTATTTTTATTATCCCCTTGCAGACCCCACCAATTACAAATTAAAACCCAACATTACATAAAACTGTACAGTCAAGACGTGTACAATTATCCTCCATTTTCTACTGGTCAGGGTCTTTGCATCGGTGAGACCTCCACCGTTTCAGGTGCGTCTCATTGAGCTGCGACTCGGGGTCCAAACTTTTCGTTTGGGTGAAACTCTGCACGTCTTTTTGCAGTTTTATGTCCCAGTCCCAGTCCGGTGAAACTAGGAATTCAGGTGTCTCTTGTAAAGGAGTCCCAGAGGCTCAGTGGGATTAACTTGTCTAAATAAAGGTTGAATGAACGAATCCATCCTCTGTTCTTCTTCATCTTCAACTCAGATAATCCTCCAGTTCTGATGTCACTGAGATCTCATGATGACCTCTGTGTGCTGCAGAGTGCGGCCTTGGCGCCGCGTGACGATTCTCCGAGTCCAAAGCCGCTCCAGCTCGCAGCGGCAGGGATCTGCAACATGCCAGGTAGCCATAGCAACGAGCGAGGAGGGGACAGCACCCACGGCGGCTGACACTTATCCTCCCACTCATGTGGCGAGCGCGGTGCGTGACCTTCATCCCTGGCCTCTGAGGTGATTTCGTTTCTGCCGAGCGTCACTCGTCTTTGAAACATCACGAAGGACGTCTTACGAAATCACTGCAGAAGCGAACAGGTCAGACTCCTCGAACACCCACTCCTGCACGGTCACACGATCTCCTGTCACGTGCACGCGAGTACATTTGAGAACAGAAGGCACGGGGGCAGAGAGGAGTAAGATGAAATTAAACTTTATTGATCATTGCAGCAGCAAACAGTTACAGGATACATCTGAGAGAAACTGGAAATGAAAGAGCCAACAGGAGGGATGAACAGGGCTGTTAAGAGACGGGGGAGTTTTTAGTATTTCATGCTTCTCCGAGTGAAAATAAAGTGTTGGAATGAAAACGTGCAGGCAGAACTCTGCTCTCAGGCTCAGCAGAGTCGAGCACCATTGATTGAAAGTTGTACTGAAAACACGCGTGTGCAGGATTTTCTCGTAGGCGCGACATTAAAGGGTGACTCGTTAGTCGTCGTCGCTGAACCACGTCCCCTCCTGCAGGCTTTTCGATCATCACATTTAATGACACGTAAACCTCTACCGCACATGCTCAGGCGCTAAACTGTTCAAGGGAAAAAGGCGCGTAATAAAGATCAGCGTTAAAAAAGTCAGAGCGCATGTCATAGGCCTGCAGCAAGCCACAACAGAAAGGATACGAAAAGGTTTGCATTTGCCCGAACACGGAACTGCGGTTTGGGTTTCTGGTGAGCTGAAACACGATCAGTAATGAGGAAGCTCACTCCGTGTTAGCAGAGAATAAAGTTTATGATTGGAGGAAGGAGGCTGTTGCTATAAGGTTGAAAAAAACAACATAATTATCAACGATAGTGTGTGAAATATAAATAAAAACAGAATGCAGTAACTCAGATCACTTAAGCGACACGTGACTGATTCAGAACCACGTTCAGCAGATTTGCAGCACTTCGTCTCGTCAGTGCTCAAACTTTTTTTTGGCCAGGACGCAACACAAGGCAGAGTACCCCCTAGCATTACACAGGCAGGGCGCCCCGCCCTGTCAACAGAACCGAGCGCCCTGCCAACCCCCCCAGACAACTGCCGGCACTGATGTAGCGCTAAGCTAGCGGTGTCTACTTCATGTCAGACGTGTCTCGTCTAACAGTCCCCCCTGACAAAAATCACAGAGCATGAGCGCCCTGCCAAGGGAAGTAAACTAGAGGAAACACAAACATCTTTGAGGTGTCCATTAATGGTCAGTCACGTCATCTGGACAGTTTTATTTTGTGGAAAGACGTTTCGCCCTCTATCCAGAGGGCTTCATCCGTCTGTGGAGTCCCAAGTAAACTTTTCCCCACTAAGCAGTGCACTCCTTTAGTGGACCAACCAGTTTGCTGGTGATAAGATGGTTTCTGGGGGCTGTCCTGTCCCCCGTCAACTCCTCCCAGCCAGGCAGCCACAGCCAAAGGGGTTCAAGACATCAAAGTTCATGCTCAATCATCCAGGTACAAAATCCAGTAATGGTCAATCAAGTCATCTGGACAGTTTCTTTTTTGTGGGAAGACGTTTCGCCCTCTATCCAGAGGGCTTCATCAGTCTGAGGAGTCCCAAGTAAACTTTTCCCCACTAAGCAGTGCACTCCTTTAGTGGACCAACCAGTTTGCTGGTGATAAGATGGTGTAAAGGAGTGTACTGCTTACTGGGGA